GTCCGCTGGGGTATACCCCAGCCATTGTCTGTTTTCACTCTCATTCTTCACTTGCACATTTTGGAGTACGTGTGTTGGAGTCTTGCGTGGGGAGCTGCGTTATGCCATCTCGCTCCCCCCTTCTTCCTCCATCTCCATCTCTGTCACTAGCGGAGCACCACACCTGGTGGGTCCGCTACAGAGGGTGGTCAGTGACGGAGAGGATTCACCACTTGAGGGGCATAGGGCGGTTCGAGGAGCCCATCGCTCAGATATGTGAGGAGGCCCTGACTTGGCCAGATGTGGAGGCCGGGATGCAGAGGTTGAGAGCTTCCCCTAGGGGGCGCGATGGCATGCCCATTCGATTGGAGGAGGGGAATGCAGATGAGTTCATCCCCGCATATGAGCACTACATGTTGAGTCTGGGGGTTGCGCAGGGGGAATGGGTGCAGGCCCTACTTATCTAGATGAGGCGGGCAAAGAAGCAGGCGGTCAACCAGATTCAGAAGAGGGCTCGAGACTGGGAGGACTATCACGCCCAGCTTAGGAGGGTGTTCGGATGGCCACAGCACGACAGGCACGAGCCCAGAGTTGAGAGGCGGCGGCGAAGCAAGAGGCCAAGGGAACCGGCACCGAGAGAGGCGGGGCTGGCCAAAGAGGGGAGGGGAGCCCCGGCCCAGCGGGAGGATGAGCCCGCAGGGCCCGCATTGGCAGAGGAGTCGTTCCCTGCTTGTGGCCTCCGAGCGGTTGAGTTCCGGCGGATTACGAGCGAGGAGTTGAGGCCGCCCTCACCACTACCATCAACGCAGAAGCTGGACATACCAAGAGAGACGCCATTCCGAAGCTTAGCGACTCATCTGGATGTATCCCAATGGAAGGCCTCACGGCTGGGAGAGGGCTCAGTTGAGCCGGCATGCTACGTGCCATTGGAGGAGCCCCTCGACCCCGAGATGGAGACATACATGCAAGACCGAGAGGAGCCGCAGGATCCTGAGATAGCAGCCGAGCGGCCAGATCCGGTGCGACCTCAGGGTAGAGAGGTGATCACAGTTGGGGACGATACCCCTCCATGCTCCCCAGCTCCAGAGCCAGCACAGCGTTCATGGCCAGAGGGGATTCTTGAGCCAGGTAGCGAGGAGATCCCGGAGTTTCCCCCTGAGGCCACCACTATACCTGAGCAGGAGGCAGAGGCAGAGAACCGGGGAATGTGTGAGAGAGCGAGGATGGAGGTGCCCCTTGACTTGCCCTTGGCCACACAGGTGACCGAGAGCCCGGATATCGAGGAGCCCGTTTCAGCAGAGTTACCGCTAGTAGTGCCGTGCGCGAGCAAAAGGATGGAGGCGGAGGCGTCGACTCCAGGAGGCCACGGGCCGCGAGTGGAAGGAACCCCAAGAGAGACCCGCGAAGAGAAGTCCGCCCGAGTGCGGGTCCGTCTGGACGAGATATACGCAAGACAGATTGAGATGGAGGCGGCGGGGATAGAGCCGACACCGCCGGTCGAGCCCAAGACGAGTGAGCAGAGGATCGACAAGTTGTGGGCTAGGTATGAGAGTCAGAGGGATGCAGCCCGCCAGAGGTCACGAGAGGCGGGACAGGCGGACGAGGAGATGAGTGAGTTGAGAGAGATGGGGGACTTGGGGTTCTCCGCGACTAGGCAGGCGATTGAGCGTATGGATCGGAGGGTATGCGAAACGGCAGTCACATCCTTCCAGTGGTATAATCTACTCAGCAATGAGCTCAGAGTTAAGGAGTTGGAGGTGGAGCACCTGACTACTCAGCTTGCCGAGGAGAGGGCGAGGAGCAGGGCTAGAGATGTTGAGTGGGAGAGGAGATTTTGGGAGATGGCTGCCGTTGTGGGTAGGCTCTCGGCAGCCTGGGAGGCTAGCCAGATGGGGCGAGCCGGTGCCGATAGCCAGGGCCGAGGGGTGCAGGCTTCGCCGGGTCATGGAGCAGCAGTGGAGGTCCCTCGACAAGCCGAGCCAATGGAGGAGGCGCCTTTGGACGCAGTCGAGGAGGAGAGTGGCGCGCAGGAGTCGCTTATGGCTATGTCCACGGAGAGGAGAGGTTCGCGCTTGCATGAGCTGGCGGCAGCCATGGGGATAGGCACTCCACAGGAGGGGCCTCAGGGACTCGACGCTCCAGAGCATTCCCCGAGGTTGGGGGAGTTGAGGGCGGATCTGGGCTCCTGGGCCACGGGGACCGACTCAGGAGGGCCTGACTCGCGACGGCAACAACAGCAGGAGGTCGTGAGTGAGCCCGCCGCTATTGGGGGCTCTCAACCATTAGGAGTATGTAAGGATGAGGCGATGATGACAGAGAGGGCGCATGAAGAGGGACCCCAAGAGTTGGATACGCCAAAGCGCGGGCCAGGGAGTGCGGCTGCACGAAGGGGTAAGGGTGCTGAGGCTATGGGGCCAGGACCACAGGGCCATTTGGGGTTACCCTCGTGTCATGAGGTGGCTACTGAGACCATGGGGACGCCTTCGGCATCGAGTTCGCAAGGAACAAAGAAGAAGACTGTCAAGTGGCATGATTCCTCCTGTTTTGGTGCAAGGAGGGAGGGCATAGAGCCGTGGACGGCCCAAAGCTCCTTGAGGATAAGGCCGAGGGGCGAGTCGCGGAGGACAATGGCAAATTCTATGATAGACAGGGGAGGATAGTGGAGCGAGCTCCAGATGGGGGCAGGGCCCAGTTATACAGACAGAACCAGGAGCAATTGTGTAAGTGGGGATCGGTCTGTCTATGTATTGATAGGACTAGAGATCTTTGACACACACAGGGCGAGGTTAGAGGTGTACATACCTGAGGTCAGTTGAGCGGGCCCTAGGTGTGTGTGTGCGTAGGGGTGGTCGAATGAGCTCCTATCCGTTTGTACATATGCATTCGACTTTTGCTCACTTGCCTCCTCTCGAGAGTCTTCGTGGGCTACGACCCAGGGGTAGGGCTCGGCCGTGTGATGTCTGAGACTACTTAGTTACATTTGGTTTTGGGATTCAGAAGGTTGCTGCTCTGAATGAGATTTGGGAGTTCGTAGCACTCAGGGTGTGAGTTCTCCCAGCAGGGGAGGACAGGGGCTAGAATATTCTATGGATGATGAGGCAGGTGCTATGCTCCCAAGTGTACTTGATGAGTATACAGTGGGGTTATGAGTCCCATTCAGACGGGCGGAGTATGGAGTGGGGTGCTTGTATTCGATTGTTGGGGGAGGCATTTTACTGCCCGAGTGTACTATGAGTTGAGCTCCTGTGGGACTTGTTTTGTGACGATCACTGTCGCTCTCACATGTGTGGATTTATCTCGATGAATRTTTGGCTTTGTGTGAGAGATGTACATGATGCATCTTATGGGCATGATTGTGTAAATTGTAGAGYTGTCTACCCTCCGGTATACTCGTGCGATCTGCTACAAGTGGACGAGAGGGCAGGGTATAAGGAGGGAAAGTGCAGCCCGTTTGTGAAAAACTGTGAGGATCCTACGAGATTGATGGATTTAGGAATTTGCATGCTTGGTCGTACTAAAACACCGTTGCATAAGCTATACAGGGACCCAGAAGGTGGTCCCTCAGTTTGAGTTGTTTGATGATTAAGGCCCCCTTCATAATTCTGGGAGGTGAGAGTTATATTGTGTGGAGACCCCTTCATGGTTTTGGAAGAGGTCGTGTGAGGAGCCATCCCATACAAAAGGGGTGGCCAGGAAGTCTTTTATGGGAGGCACCCTTCACCTAGTAAGGGTGGGCAAAAAAAGAATGATGTGGAAAGCATTGTCTGTGCTGATAAAGTCTGACGAGAGGGGACCATGCTTGCTTGAAATGTGTGAGGAGGGCGAGAGATGCCTCAGGGTGGGCGACTGCTGGCTCTGATCAAGTCAGGAGCCGCGGCCTCGTGGACCCGGCGGGGAGATTGTTTGTGAMTGAGTAAAGGATGTCGTGCCTATTACTGGAGGGCCGGTAAATCCCTTTGGACCCTTGCGTAGTCCCGCAGCGGGCGTGAATCGTTTGTAACGCCCCGCCTGGCCACCTGTGTTAATTCTGAGACATGTTTAAAGGAATACCAAGCTAACGGTAAAGCTTAGTGCCACCTGGGCGCAACCCCTAGTGGATGGCTGCTAGCCGGCACAACTTGGCTGCGGGCCCGCAAGGCAAGAGTTTAAGGGGAGTTGCCCGCCCCAAGGAAATTACCTTGCGGGATAAGAGTCGAGTCTTTTGGGAGCCCTGATTGATTGGTTATCAGGGATATACCTGCCATTRTATAACCAATGGGAGGATACTRCCGCTAAGGTAACAATGTGGTGGGCCGTAGACCTGGCCCGATCAACCAGGCTACGGTGGGCCCAGATGGGGACCTGGCATTTCTGTACTAGGCTGCAGAAAAGCCGAAGAGAGGCTATATAAGCTTATACATGTGTGTTTTGTTTGACTTTGAGGAACTTGTTGAAGAAGGCAGAGAGTGCCTTCATAGGCCCCATTCGAAGCCCGCGTCCCGAGTTATGGCTCTGCTTATGAGGAAGAGGCTACCTGGGACACCCAACGAGAGGCCGGCGGTTGTCTAGGACAAAGGGGAAGAGGATGGTTTGGGGGCCTTTGGAACTTATGCTGTAGTATTGACGCGTAATACACCGGCGTCCTGATATCAGGACAATGGAGACCCAGGTTGAAACCCTGGCAACATATAGTTCTGTGGCACGAATTGATGGAGGCCTCGACGCTGAGTCTGCCAGCTAATCGGATTGGTTCTCATCTCGTCAGCATTTGGAATGTGATGGAAATCTATAGCTTTTTGATCTGGCGACGCGACAGGGACGTCGCTTAATATGGTCCGGTAAACTGTCGGCGTGAATACCCTTACAAGGGTATCCGCCCTGATTTTTGCAAGTGACAGAAAGGCTTGGTTAACCTGGATCTTGAGTGCCCGGGCGGAAAAATGCGAAGGTCGCCCGCACGTAGGCAAGGGTCTGTCTTGTCCCGGTAGGGAGTAGGTGGGCGCGCAATATTTAAGGCGCGTGTGTGATTTTTCCTAATTGAGTAGGCGGCCGGGGTAGCCGACCAACCTAGACCGTGTTACGGCCCTGGTTAGGGAATGAAAGTTTGTTTTTGATAGGCGTGCGTGATCGAGGGTAGGGTTGGCACGCCGGTAGGCGCATGGGACGGCCATGGCGCGGGGTGGTAGACCGATGCGGACACCTAGGGTCCGTGGGTGCAATTGTTTGCCGAAAAAGTAACCAGGGCGGTCTCTTGGCTGGAACGCCGCGCGGCAGCACTTTGTATGGGGAGCCGCGCCTGCCAGTCACAGGCTTGGGCTTAGCCCTATAGGTTACGGCATTGGGTTTGCACGACGGAGGTACGAGGTTCGAGTCCGGCGGACGGCAGCGCAGGGGCGGTGGAGCAGCGAGAGGTCGTGGGGTCGAGGGTCCACATAGGACTAACCCCCCCGGTTTTGTTTTGCCGGGGGAGTCCGACGGTAGGAGTGTGGCCCGTTTCTCCCTCCCCTAGGCGATTCCCACTTTCCGTATATCGACGACCTCCCCTGATATTTTAACGGACTTTTGGTCCGTTTTCCCTTGGGTACTGTTGCCTCAGAACGGTGTGGGGGAGGTCCGCATGATACCCGTGTAGGGGTGATGCGCGAAGGCTCGGAATGGACCCGGTCGTAGGCCGGGCTGGGCTTATGCCAAAAAGGGGACAGTATGGCATCGAGTACTGAGTTGGGTGCAGGGCTGATGCAGAGAAGATTTTTGCGTAGATGATGTGCACGAAGCGAGACAAAAAGGGAGTTACGGGGGGGACTTGCATAGGCCACTGTGCGGGTACCAGATCCGGGAGCGAACCCGGGCGAGGATCGTGGCTTGGGCCACGACCGGTGGCTACGTAGCAGAGGAACCGCTCCGGAGGGGAAAGGAGATTTGCGGGCACGAGGGAGATCTGCGCAGTCTCCGTGGGCAAGTGATATTTAGGAATGAACCCGGGCAGGAACCGGGTAAGGGGCGTGCGAGGAGCAAAAGGGGAGAGGATCTTTGTTTTAGACTTAAATTTTTATGTACCCCTCACTTGTTACGTCGGAGGCCGACCAACTTGCTGACGAGGCTAAGTGAGGAGACTCGTTCGCCATTATGCAAGTCTGAAGTGAACCCGGACGTGAACTGCGCTGGGTACGTGCGAAGGGAGGAGTTGTAGGAGGGACCCGACCGATGGTTGCCTGCAGTAGTGGCCCCGAGTCCTTTGGGACCTCTGTTGAAATCGGAACGATATAGGGAAGATTCGTGCGATCACCTGCGCGAGGTCCGCATGTATGAAGCCCGAAAGGGAGGCCAGGCCCATGCGGGAAGAACTAGGCAGGCGGAGCGGATCGTCCGAAGGGAGAAGTCGAGGGGGGAGAAGGAATATCGGATCGAAGGGTCCGTATGATCGCCATGCGGGAGTAATATGCACGAAGCCGGGAATGGACCCGGTCGCAGGCTGGACCGGGTGCGTGCCGAGAGGGGGTTATGTGACCACTAAGCGTGCCAGGGCGCGTCGCGCCGCGCGAGTCCTTCGGGACATCCGTTAAAATTATAATAATGCAGAGAAGATCTGCATGGCCCCTGCACGACTTGACACGCATGAGCCCCGACAGTGGGGCTAGGTTCGTGCACCGAGGTAGAGTGGGGTTGTGGCCGCGCAAAATTCGAAGGGCCGCGGGGCACTACCCCGGTCGAAGTTCTTCGGGGCATCTGGTGAAGTTGGACGATACWGAGAAGATCAGCAGGGCCTCGGCGTAAGGACGACACGTATAAATTGAGCAGCGGTCCGAACGACCAGGATTTTTGCTCCCTCATTTTTTTTGTGGTTTTGGACGATCTGGGCAAACTGGCTGGGCAGCAACGGTACCGTGTGGACGGCAACCAGGCGAGCTGCGGGCGATGGAGGTGGCAGAAGCAAGTGAACGGATCGAGACGGGAGGTCGGGCCGGGTGCTTTCGGAGCCAGGGGCGATGAAGAAGGCGGGGCATGGGAAGGAGACAAGATAACGGGCGCGATCCTTGATGGATTCTGGCGAGGGAAAGTGCTAGGTTGGGGTTTTGGGGGGTGGCGGATCCAAATCCGTAGTTAATTTGGGGAGTGAGATAGCAGAATGGGAGATGAGTGAAGAAGGTGCGGCGCGAGGACACGGTGGAAGGTGGGTATGACGGGAGGAACGGTGGCAGGGAGAAGGAGAGCGGACTTCCCGCCTGATGGTGGCAAGATCGAGCGAAGTGGAGGAGCTCGACGGAAAGTTTGACTGTTAGGCGACTCCGACCTCGAGGTTAGCGTTAGTGGGAAGATAGTGAGAGTAGAGTTTGCAAAGGAAAGAGGTCCGGATGAGCCTAGACGCGGTTTTGTGCTGGGTGCGTTTGAAAATGAGAAGGGGTAGGCACAGGGGCAAACAGTGAGGATAGGTGCGCACCCGTAGGGATGCAGTCTGCGACTTCAGGAGGCAAGGAATCGAGGCACCACAGGGAATGGTAAGGACCTGCCCAGGGCGGGTGGCCGGCGGCATCCGGAGAGAGGAGTGAAGGAGGGCTTACCTGCCCGTGTGGGGCCGTTCGGCTGTACAAGTCGGAGTGAGGCAGCGAGCCGCGAAAGGGGAGGGGGGCAGATGCCAAAGGCCGGGAGGCGAGTTACAGTAGAACTGCACTGCGGTTGTGCCAGTGTACWGGGAGTAAGGGYTGCGGGTTGCTACAGGCTGTCGCCACCGCCGTGTGCTACTGTGGATTATGGGCCGCGGAGTATCATGGCGGCGACTGCAGGTCTATACKGCTGAGAACGGCGGGTAHGTAGCTACTCCTSGTGGGTGYTGAGTGCTACTACGTGSCGCAACAACTGTTGTTGAYAGWGCGAACTGCTACTACGAGTGGTCGRCTACGATTGCCAAGGACTGCACAGCGGCTGCCTGCTGTTACGACGGACCGTATTTGGGTTGTTATTGCCGACTATGGGCTGTTGTTGCTTATAGCTGCCTGTGGGCAGTGACCGGCGGGTGGAGGCCACTCGCTGGCACCTGACGATCGATTGCCGCTAACTAAGTGCAGCCTGGGGCACTATGGCGGACGGGCTCGGAAGAGGGACGAGGCTCTGAAAGCAGGGTGAGTCCATTAMAGTAGACCTAGARAGTTGCYAKGGGGATTTAKACTTGACAGTTTGATTGAAGGATTRACCAAGCTGTCACATCTCCGGCTGCCATTGCGGGGCCCTCAGGCGCGGAAGGATTGAAGACCCTCTCAAGCGAGTCTGAGTGGTTCTTCCCTGAGTCTGAGAGTCTTACCCCTTTTATCCTGCCCTTCTTACTCTAAAGTCTGGTCCTTGGTTCTGGGAGAAAGGCGGTAGGCGGGCGTGTGGCCCGTAATCGGCGCCAAGGCCTTTGTGGGAGGTTGCCCCACCGATTGCGGGAGCTCTGCTGGGACTCAGGCGGAGTCCTGGAGGCAGGGAACTGAGTGGTAATCCCTTGACTCCCTCTATAAACCCAACTATAACCCCTATCTGTACATCTTTCTATGGTTTGAATGAGTGTACTGCGTGACTCCTGTACTCTGACTTTGGTTTGAATGTCAGGACTTAAGTCAGACTGAAGTAAAGGAGTGTGTGTGCAATCTCAGTTTCAGGTTTGTTGATTGCCTGAAAGCAGACTATGAATGAGATGGGTTGCATATGGGGGAAGGTTGGGAGGAAGGCAGTATTGTGTGCAGCTTGACTGGGTCATTAAGGCTGGGAGGTCCCCTTAAGTTTGGGGAAGCCCGGCGCTCTGTTTATTTTTGGTTTGCATGGAGCCTCAGGCCTCTCTATAAGTTTATGTAGCCTAAAGCTCTGGAGGCCGGGATGTCCCCATAACTTTGGGGAGACCTGGTGCTGTGAACGGCATGGAGGGTCAGGACGCTCTATAAGTTTAGGTGTCCTGACTGCTCTGACTTATGGGGATTTGACTGTGAGTGGTTTTCAGGAACCCAAGGCGCTCTATAAGTTTAGGTGTCTTGGGTTACCTCATTTACTTGGGATTCTCTCAGTTTCTTTGGTTCTGAACAAGGAGGTCTGAGCCGCTCTATAAATTTAGGTGGCTCAACCCTTCTTCTGTTTTGYTTTGAGGGAATAATCTTGGCAAGGGACGGACCGCTCTATAAGTTTAGGTAGCCTGTCCCACTTCCTAGCACAGATTGGACCAGAGAGAAATGAACCTAGCTGAGGATCAGACCACTCTATAAGTTTAGGTGGCCTGACCCAATGCCTCGCACATATTGGAACCCAATGGATATAACTTGGCTATATTGTACTACTATGCTATTAAGAACAAGCTAGTCAAACCGCTCTATAAGTTTAGGTTTCTAAGTTGAGCGGCTCAGCCTTACGTCCCTTTGAAGACTAAGTTCAGAGAGGTATATACAATTTGGTTATTTAAACAGTTCAGGGCGACTAGAATGGTCTAGTCACACGCCCAAAGAAGAAGAGAAGTACTTGTGCGCTCTGTTTGTGTATACTTGGCCATATCAGAACGCTCTATAAGTTTAGGTATTCTGACTTTGGGCCTGGCTAAGTTGGGCGCGCTCTGTAAGTTCAGGTGCCCTGACTTATGCCTTATGTAAGTTGGGTATAAAGGGGTAACTCACTAAGAAAGCATGAACCATTGGTTGCTGAAAGAACTTGAGAATGGCGAGAGTACTTACCTTTGTAGTTTGGCCTGCATGTGGCTGAGTGAGACTACTACTTGGTCTGGGTTTCAGGTTGAYAGGTAGTTGCTTTAGAGGCTCGCCACGTGCTAGAGCGATAGGAGTTAGGTCAATTTCTGCATTTGCTAAGCTGACTTTATTTTACTTTGACCGATTTTTGCATTTCCTGAGGCTTGTTACTATACTTGGACCTGTATAAATTTTGGTAAGCTATTTTTCCTACGGGAAGCGCTGCCGAAATTTCTACAGATTCAAGGAGTTAGATAAATTTTGACTTGCCAAAGTTTAGCTCGTCCTTTCGTCATATATGACTCAGTAAAAATTTGGAAAGCCTCCTTTTCTAAAGGGAATGGTGCCAAAATTTTTCCTAATTCAGGGAGTTAGACAAAATTGGGCTTTGGGATGTTAAAGGTAGTCTCGGGTTCTAAGCTTGGCTTTGTATGAATTTTGGGAAAGCACTTTTCTAGGGGTAGTGCTGCCAAAATTTTTGCAAGACTAAGGAGTTAGTCAAAACTTGTTTAAATTGAACTTAAGTTGCCTTGTGAGTTCATATCTGACCTAGTATAAATCTGGGAAATCTCCCTTTCTAAAGGGAATGCTGTCCAAATTTCTACTAATTCAGGGAGTTAGATAGAATTTGGCTTTCCAGAGTTGGAGATTATTTCCGTTTTCATATTTGGGCTGATATAAACTTTGGAGAGACTTTTCCTGCGGGAAGTGTTGCCGAAATTTTCTTGATTTAGAGGAGCTAGATTATATTTTGACAGATGGCGATTCTGGCGATCCACCCTGAATGGGGGAGATTCAACCAGGGTCTGCCTTTGCTTTGGGCACCGCCTCGAGGTAGATTCAGGCTTAGCTAGCTAGGAGGATTTGAGTGAGAATATGTTATGGAGTTGTATTCTCCATGAGCTCATGATCTCAACTTGGGGATTGGCCTGTCATGTGTTACAGGTCGTCTTGATCGTTCGATTCAAGATCAAGACTAGATTCAGCTTGATCCCTGGAGGATCGTCTTCTGTTATCAATGATAACAGGTCGGTTGCCGATTCGTCAGTCTTCGACTCAATTTCAATTCATTCCCCATACTCAACCTAAAAGGCTTTAGTCCTGGTGGTTTTTACTGTTTGTTAAGGGTTTCACCCGGACTTTTGTTGAATGACCATTTAACAAAGGGTACTAAGTATTTAATTGAGGTTGGTTGGACTGACAGTTGGGGCTTGCATGGCTAAAGCGAAGGGGTATGAGCATAGAGAACGGTTGGGGTTGACTCCGTGTAGTGCGTGTTTTGTCGCTTGATTCTTGGTGTGGTTGTAGGTATGTCCTGTGGCTCAGATTTTGGATTTGGACTGCTTGCGATTCCATATACACATACATGGTTGTGAAGAGTCCCACTGTGCCTGTGAGAAGTGATCGTCATAACTCTATCCCCCTTCCGCATGTATGCGTGGATATACGAATGATGAGTGTTCGGGAGGCCTAAGAGGTCATGTTAACAACCGCGTGAGAGTTGGGATTGAGAGACAGGGAAGACCCTCCCCTCTGCCTATTTTGCGTCTTGGGGCTTTCTTAGTCGGACGTTGGTCCTGGGCCGGGATTCGAGGTCCTTGTCCAGGACACCCCAAGCCCTAGGCCTTGAAGAGGAGGGGCCTCCCCTTGCACGAAGCCTATTTACTCTGGCCGGCGGGACACTCCACCTGAAAGGCGGGAACGTCGTGAGGGCCGAACGGCGTGTCCTTCAGCCATTCAATATCGTGAGGGGTAACCCCTCGCAATGAGTTCCTTCAGCCATTCAATATCGCGAGGCCTAAGCCGCGGTTACCACATATGATTGGCATCGGTGGTTGGCATAGGGTTGGCATGCGGCCGCGCAGTTTTATATCAGAGCCCTGCGCGCGAAGCCTCGCCGCCCCCGACGTCTAAAAGTTATGGGACCGCCGGGCTTGCGCGTAGGTGTAGCGCTTAGGATTATTACAGGCCACCGACACCGCTCATAGAGGCGAAGTGTGTCCCAAGGCCATGAGTTTTTGTTTTAAGGGCCAGGAGACCTTTGCCCTATCCCCTCTTCTTGGGTTCGTGCGAGTCTTGTTGCTTCTTAGAGATTTTTATGATGTGACGTTGTAGTCAGTGGCAGCCGTCAAAGTCAAACCCCTTGACTTTCGCCTAGGCCTCGGGGAGGACTCACCCCTAGGGCCGCGAGAGACGACTAGCACCACAGGCATGGGCCTGTGTACCACCCACTCTGCATAAGGGTGCAGAAGAGGGTGTGTGGTCCTCAACCGCGCAGGGCGGTTGTCCAGCGTCGAGAGATTAACCCTCAAGGTGCGTGTCAGTCGACACTTGAGTGTCGAACGCGACCCTCGAGATTAACGAGGACCGCACGAGTATGGGTACCACGTGGTACGCCATCGTTGCGACCGCTTGCGTGCGCTTGCATCACGAGTCGATATGAGTTAGCTCTGCGTCCGCGCGATTTTTATACTAAGTCTCGCGCACGACGCGTATCCTATTTCCGCGTCGGGAAGTTATGGGTTGGCTACCGAGGGGCTAGGAGAGTTGCCGCGTTGTTTGCGTTGTGTCGTTCCGTGTGTATGTGTGCGTGTTGTTGTCGTGTGGTTGTGGTGTGCGCGTGGGGTGTGGGATGCGTCCTAGTCGACCGACGACGAGTCGCGCTTGGGACTTCAACCCCCCAAGACGTCGGTTCGCGTGCGGGTCCGATAGGCGTATTACCGCGTGTACCCCCTATGCTACAGTGAACGAGAAACGCCCTCGGCTGGTCCACCTCTGCGATTGCAACCGAGTAGCTTTCGTATTATGGACT